AAATATCCTCTGTCTTAAGTAGAAATCTTCTAAACCTATTGTTTCTCTAAAAAAACATAAGAATTTCTCTGCAAAGTCTGCAAAATCCCCTATATCCACAAGGTGGCGATCTCAGCCTCAATCATGTTAGAAGAAAGAATGGTTTCAGATCAATGCAATGGAACAGGAACAAAAGGAATTTTAATGAGTTTTATCGCCACTTGTTATTAATACAAGATTTTGAAAAACTAAATAAGCCATTATCATGAAGCTTTCCAGGTCTTGTCTCGAGTTTAGCATGCCCCTACTGTTTGGTGTGAGCACTCCTGTGCTGAAGAACTGAATGTGCTTATAAATATTAGATGTAAAAGCAATAGCAGAATAAACACCTTTCATCCAAAGCCACATGTATTTCAAAAATCTCGATAGTATTCAAACAATTTTATATATTGGTATCCAGTGAAGTGTTTATAGTTTACCTTAACAGTATTGAATATTATGTTTCACATTTCCTAGTGGGAGAAATCAAAGGTTAATCTTCCTATTTTCCTCATCTCCTTATCTGGGTAGGTCTTTGTATACTTATATCCATATAAAGCTTAAGGGTAACTAGAACAAAGTAAAATTCCTTACAATGCCACACACCTTTCTCTGTTCCTCTTCCTAGTCAAGATTCTGAGGCAAAGATAAAACTTTCTCCCTTTGAAAGTCCTTAGCTTTCTACTCCTTTCTCACCAACATTCAGAACTCTCTGTTTTAAATTTCAATTCCTTCCCCTCTGTTTTTATTCAGTCAGCCTCTCTGCCTGGGCTGAACTCCTATGCCATCTGTCTGCTCTCCCCAGAACCCCTTCTATTTTGTTCCATACCTTTAGAGAAAAAGAAAAAGAAAAACAAAAGATATTTATACGCACGTATGCAAACACACACACACACACACACACACACACACACACACCACACAGAGCCATGCCATGATTCTGCATGGCAAGTTTACTGTTTATTCTGTATAGCCTGATATCTTCTTCAGCTTTGTAGATCAAGTTACTTTTTTATATATCGTTATCTGTCCCTTTCCTTTCCTTTTTTTTTTTTGCATCGTATTATCCCTTTACTATACAGTCCTTAGCTTTGTTCTCTCTTCTCACTGACATACATCCTAGATACGTACAAGTCTAATGCCTACTCTTGGTAACTAGCTGATTGTCAGAAGGCAGCAATGATACTTTTCCTGTCTTCCATTTCTGAAGTCTGGTTTTACTCTCCCTTATGTGGCTTCCTTTGAAGGAGGTCTCTGGCTTACTCTTGCCCCTTGATCCCCATGGCAACCATTGTCGGCTGTGTTATAATCAAGTGGATTACAGTGAGAGCAGCCGGGCTGGCTGACAGGACTTCACTATCTTTTCCTTCCGTTTCAGTCCTCTAATGCTCTATTTTTTGGGGGCACATGTTTCTAGGGTGCTTGTTAGAATGGAGCTTCATGCTCCATCCCAGAGATTTCTATTAGATTTAGCTGTAGGATCAAGCCCCAGAATCTTTGCAGTAATAAACATTTCAGAGAAATGTGGAAGATGTAGTTTGCAACAATCTGAACTATTCCTATGAACACCACAGTATCCTTCAATGTGTTTTAACCATTCTAGAAATACATATTGTGTGTGTGGGTGTGTGTGTGTGTGTAAGACAATGAGGACTTCTTCATAGCCAACTTAAATACAATTTCTCCAAATTACTTTTATTATATTGCTTTAGAGACAACAATAAAAACCACCTAAAATTTCTTGTCCAAATTCTCTATTCTGGTTTCTATGGGACCTGTCTCTTGTTGCTCTGATACTATCATACTGCCTTTCATGGTTTTCTAACAATGTTCTCTCTTTTCCATAGGCTAGAGATGTACTCTGGTTCACTAACAAAATGTTAATAGGAAAAAATATTGCGCTTAACTTCAAGGCATGAAGGAAATAGAAACAAAAGGGATAGCGTATTTGGTCAGCTAAAAAGCAATGACTAAGATAGCATGGCTTGAGTCTTAGACTTAAAGATCTTGTTTCAAATGATGCCAGCCACAGAGATTTAACTCCTCTGTGGCTACAATGATCCAATGACTAGCAAGTCTTTCATCTTTTCTTTCAATAAATCTGTATATTGTCTCTTCAATTCAACTGTTTTACTCTCTCACTGATGCTTCATTTAGCAAGCACTTATTGATGGCTTATGAGCTCAGCTCAAGCATCACTTGTACTAGGAAGACTTCCCTGCCAACACAATTTGTCTTTCAACTTATTACTATTACTTTATGCATTACTTTATGCATTCTCACAGACTCCTGTTTTCTCTCATCTTGGTATGTAACTATAAATTAACTAATGTTTATTCAATTTATCTCTATGTGTCTTCAAGCCCAAAAGATTCTTTTTTTTACTTGTTTTTTAAAATTTTTATTTAGCTTTTATTGTGAAAATACTGTACAGAGGGGTTACAATTACATGGGCAAGATAATGAGTACATTTCTTATCAAGCATTGTAGCTCCTCCTTTGTTTCCCCTTCCCATCCTATCCTCCCCAACCCCCCCCAGCCAACCCTCCTCCCCCCCCCTCCGGCAACCAAAGATGTAAAGTTGGTTTTCAACATACTACTTGTACGTCTCATTGTTGCAATGGGTCCACCTGTATCCCTATTTAAACGATTTGTTTTTTCCCTTCCCCTCCACAAATTATAACAACATCAAATACAGTAAAAGCAGAGGTTATACCGTGGGGGAGGGACATACAAAGCAACAAAGAAATCATCTTATAAATGTGTTAGAAACAATCGCATGAAAGAAAAAAAACATTTGAATACATATCTTAGGGTTCATTTCCCTAACATCACCTTATCTGACCTTTTCTGCTTGAATCAGACATATACTAAATATTGCAAATAAGGGAAACCATGGGACCTATGTTTACAAGCCCAAAAGATTCTTGAGAGAACATTTCTATTGAGTTACCAACCCTTATTTTTGGGAAGTCAGAGTAGGGACTTAATAAATTAATCACTGAAGAAAAATAAAACTTAATACACTGGTCCTTTTTCTTCATAAGTGTTGTGGGACTTTGGCTGGGAGATTTAATGACAACAGCTCAATGCAGCTCAACTTCATAACCCAGAATGTACTCACTGAGAAACCTGGATAAATCCAACAAGTTAGAGAGATTGTTTTTCACGTGATACTTTCCCAGCTTCATCCTTAAACATTAATAGAGCTATGACTCTGCTGATAAATTTCACTACTGAGTAGTACAACTTTTCCAAAAAGCATTCAGTTTTGGTCTTCTATATATGTCCTTGGAAATATATATTTCTCCTTATTAGTACTCTCCCTAACTCTATCCCAGATTCTCTTTCATTTTTCCCACATTTTGCTAAAGTCATACATTATAACCTCAAATTATTTTAGAACTTGCCAATGACTTGCATTTACCTCCAAATTGACTATAATCATGTGGAGTCAGTTAATAAAAGCTAACGCGATTCCTCTGATTATTACTTTATGCTAAACTTTGACATAGTTCTTTTCCCAGAGAGAAAAAATATTCTAGATTAGGTGCTAACGTATCTTCCCTCAGAAAACACACCTGAGGTACATATTGAAAGACAAGGAACTATTTTATGAAACTATTTTAGTCATGCAATTTTCAATCTTACATGTCAATAAATTTTTCTATACAGAAAAATCAAGATGTAGGATTAGAGGCATTGATCAGCAGTAGTGAGATTCAAATTCATTTCCTCAGCAAATGCTTTTGCACATCTATGGCTTTAAAGGCTGGGGTTAGAGCAATAAACAAAAGAAAACAAAGAACTAATATTCTAGTAACGAGAAGATCCTAAACAAATAAGTATATATCACATCAGTTTGAAGGGTCGAACAAAGAATTTATCTGCTAAGGCACTCCATCCACATCTAAGAAATTTTATTTTTCCTCAAAAGAGGGTTAATGTATACAAATGGGATTGGGTAATGACTGCGGCTGGGTTTTGCCTTTAGACAAAGAATGCAAAACTTTCTTTCTCTTTCCAGATGTCTAGGGCATGGCTTGTTCTATTTTGCCTCTGGTTAGATACTTCCTGAAATAATAGTGTCACTGCATCTGCTCTCCTGTTGAAGACAGACAGTGTCTAGGAAGGATCAGAAACAGGGCTGAATAAGGAACACACAATAGGGATGGTTTGAACCAAACAAATAAGGACCAATAAGTCTATATATATGAGGATTCTGACTGTGAAGAATGCACAGTGTGAATTACTAACACCCTCCACTCAAAGGAGAACCAATGGGCTGATGTCAAAACACAAGAATTTCAACAAACCATCTCCATTTCTTGGAGACTGATGTGGGATTTCACCCTGGGATCATTAGGCAGCACCACTCTACTCAGCTCTATGACTACATTTAAAATGTTCTTTCCACTGCTTATATATTCCACTTCACTTTGTTCTTAATCTTTCCATAACACCAATTTTTCCATTTGAACTCTTAAATCTATGAGATTAATCATACTCTCATATAGTCATTCAATGCTGGAAATCAGTAAGGAACCAGTTTTCTGACTCCAGCAGGAGCCAGAGACCCTAGGGGGGGTCTCTTCCTTGAAGACAAGTCTCATGTGAAAAACCAACACAATTCCATCTGGTGACAAAGTTCTTTCTTCAGACAATGACTAAGTGTGGCTCAAGCGTAGTTAATAAAATTGCAGCTGGGATGAGTCTCTGAGTCATCTGTCATACCCTGATCCTTTTTTTTTCCTCCCACTCACTAATCAGTTGTGAGAAACATTTCAAAATCAGAGAGTAGCAGTGAAGAAATATGAGATAGACAGATTTCTTCAGGCAATTAGACTAAAGAGCAGAAGGCAAATCATTCTTCCCGCCTTGACAGTCTTAAAATATACACTGAAAATAGACTTTGGAGTTACACTATTTGTGACAGCTTTTGACCATAACACATTTTATAAGAGGAAACAAAATTTACTCACTTCGGGCCAGACATTCCACCCTCGCATCAGCAGAGAAGATATGGGCTGGGGAATGAAATAGCCAATGGGTGGCCTGATGTGGTGATAAGCCATGTCCGCTGCTGCAGCCACTGAAAAGCAAAGGTTTCAACCTCACATGTTTATTTTAAGAAACATATGTAGATACAAAACAAAAATCATACAAAATTAATATTGCACGGGTGCAATATCAGCAGGGATTCACAGTGATCTATCTCTCAGCTGTCTTTTTCCTTTATACTTTAAACAAAAGAGTGGATAATTTCATACCCTGTACGTTGAACTTTAGCTGGATTCAATAAAAAGGGAGCAGAAGAAGTTTATAAAGAAGCAAAAGAACACACAAGGAGCAAGTAGTTTCCAGTACCTGAAGTATAGCTTATGCATATAATGTTTTGAGAAGAAAAGATTCAAAGGACTGGACAAGACTGCCCAATGTCTTAAATTCAAGGCTTGAGAGATATTGTGTATGCTTAACAAGATATGAGATGCCACTGGTCTTTGAGCTTCTAAGGTACCAGCATATTCTTGGAGAAACATATTTTAATGTAAATATTGGTAGTACAAATATATTGAATTGTTTATGTAACATTTATGAGCCAGTTATATTTTTGTTAAAGTCTATCAGGAAGTCAAATCTATTGCTTCAGCTAATACTACTACTTGTTCAATTTCCTAATACTGCCCACCTGCACGAATTTCTACTATTGCTCATCTAAAATTTTACATCATGATGTTGTGATCCTTGGAGCTTCATTGTAGGTTCCTGGGTGCTGATATTTTTTCCCCTTTCTACAATCAATTATTTCCATGCCCATTTGAAAACCAACCTTTAAACTACTTTTACTGAATAGGTTTTGTATCAGATACATTAGATATAAACATAAACTCCTTCACTTATTAATAACCATGAAAACAAAATAGCTATTGTTTTGTTGAGTGAGAGGAGGGACTACTGACTATTTTATATGCATTTAGAATTTAATTAAGAATTGATGTAACCTTTTATCTCAGTTCATGTTCTATTCAGCGTACATTATGATGAAAATACTTTGTAAACAACATGATGCTGTTTATCCTTTAGAAAAATTTCTCTGAACTGGTGTGGGGATTATGTTCCAAGTTATTTCTGCATCTTATCTTTTGTCTGTGGTGTTGAAAGAATCTGTCTATATCTTAATGATTTTTGAGAGATAAATCTAAACTTCTTTCTCCCACCAAAATTTATTTCCATTTAATTCTGTTTATCCTTCTACCCAGATTATCTAGTGAAATTATATGTGGTAAAATAAAAATTTTGCTTCATGGATTATTCTGAATGAATGTGTGATTCTGATCATTGTAAAATAATACTTGTTCTTGGTAGACCTTGAGAAATTAAGAAATTTATCAATCAGAGGGAACCATTGTTAAAAATTCTGAGATTTTCTTGTATATTCTTTATTTTGTTGAATCTGTATTGATATACAATTGTATAATTCCTTCTCTCTAAATTAAGTTATTAAGTTATTAAGCAGTTAAGAAATTCTCATTATTAAACTCTATGTTAACATGTTTTTAATTAATCTACATTTAGTGTGATTTACTTAATCACTTCCCAGTTTAAGGTTGTTCTGAACACTTTACAGACACTTTTTTTTTCTGTGTCAGTTTTTCCTACATACTATGATATATTGAGGGGAAAATATTATGTCAAAGGGTATATCTATCTTAAAGACTTTGTTACATATTGATGAACTTCTTTCTAAACTGGTGTATTAATTATTACTCAAGAGCAAGTTTGTGAGGAAGTTTTTAACTTCTGCATCACAAAAAAAGCTTTTACTAATTAGAGACAAATAAATTTGCTCATTATTGTTTAGATTGTGCATTTTCTTGCCAAATGTGTTTTTTGTTTCCCCCAAAGTTAGGCGTATTAGATTCCTTTCAACTATTTCAATTCCTTTCTGAATTAGGTAAATCAAAACCAATTATCACTAAGCTTACACATTACTCTGATATTTTTAACCTGATAGTCATTTGGAGAATTTTCACTAGTGCTACTACTATATACAGATAAACCAGTGTAATAAAAGCAAACAAGCGAATTATAGTTCTGATAATGAATGGAAAAGGACTATTTATAAATTGTGTTCGTCTCCCATGCTGATCCTAAGAACAACCATTGAGCATTTATTTTCAGTATGATCCTGAGATAGTTTATTAAATATGTGACTGCTTCCTAGAGAAGAATGGTGTTGAGAACTTTCTGCCATGCTGAGAATGTTCTTCATTATCCAATATGCCAGCACAAGGCTCTTGACCATTGTATCTCAGAAAGAAACTGAATCTTTATTTTATATACACATATAATTTTAATAATAAGATATATTCAATAACAAAGTATACGGTGTATTATATATTATACATTGTTTATGCTTTTATTATATAATCTTAAAGTAGTTGTACAAAGGACATGCCATTCAATAAAGCAGTTTATGAGTACAATGGTTTTTGCTCAATGTCACCCATTTCAACCCATCCTTCTCCACCCATCCCTTCTCTCTATTTTCTTAATTTTTTAGGCTATATATTGAATTTTTCTACTGCATTCTCCTTTCTTTTTCTCTTCATTTTCTATCTCCTTTGCCTTCACCCCCAACCCTGCTCAACTCCTTTCCAGTAACCCCTTCCTTGGTGTTGAACTGTAACTTAGTGTTTCCAAAGAATTACAGTTTGATTTCTCCCAGAATCTACCATATCTTAGAAATTGACATTTTAGTTGGGTTCATTTCATGTAATAATTTAGATAGCTGAAGTTAATGGATTCCATCATAGGCATCACAATTCTAGAAAAACAGTTTTCTCCTTTCATTCTGGTAAGTAGTGAGAACTGAGTTAAGCACAGTTTTGTGAGTCTGCCTCAAGGATGTGTATAACCATGGGGTCAGTTTGTGGTTTCAAGTTCAAGTTTATAAAGAAAAGGAAAGATATGAGTGGAGGTTGTCAGTGTTGTTCCTCAATAGGATCAGACTAAGGAGCCACAGCACAGGCATCCACTACAATATGGTACAATGGCATCCAACAATCTAAGTTGATAATAGGCTAAATTTAAAATATATTGATTTTTGAATTTTGGTTGGTAAATTTTGGAAAAATTATAGATTAAAAAATAATTAAACTTATGATTAAATTATATTAAATTATAAAAATATAAGAAATTTAAAAATAATCATTAAATTATAAAAATCCATTTTTTCAATAAAATTTGGTTAAGTGATCAATAATTCAATCAATGAATGAATTGATATTTCAGTGCCATTTGGGGTGTATTCATAAATTCTGAAATATTCTTTCTTTTGCCTAGAATGCTCTTCCCTACCTTCATAGCATCTACCTTCTTCATAGCGTCTCTGTCTTCTAGGAATTACATTAGACTGACTCTTTCTAAGTACTCTTCTGTTGCACTCCCGTGGAACATTATACTACAATTGCATCAAATGTATTCGACTGATTTGCCACTTCCTTGCTTGTTCCTGCATGTAGATCATAAGCTGCTTGAAGCTAGGACTATGACTTCATAAGTGTATCTCTCCTGCCTATCATAATAGCTGCCAATGAACAGATATTAAAAATTATACACTGTGATGAATAAATGAATGAGTAAATAAATGTGGCAGGTCAAACTATTACCTGAAAATTGATATAGAATCTATTATATTCAATGTAGTCAATATTTATTGACTAAATGGATGATTGACATTGATGACAATGAATATTTTATTCATTTAATATTTTCAGAAGAGAGGACAATGCCTAGTCACCAAGAAACATTGTAGAATGAACATAATGTATAGTTTAACATTAAATTACATGATAATAAGACAAATTATTGAGATCTAGTGGCAAATTTAGTCAATAACCTTATCTTTTGTTAAAAACATTCAGAAGAGGCCTCAATAAACTGAAGCAATATGACATATTAAGAAATACCATTTATTGGAAATCTGGCAGGCTAATTTCCAGTCTGACTTTTCTCTAAACTCTCTGGGAGATCCTATTAAGCCAATTTGCCTCTGTGAGTAATAATTTTGCTAACTGTAAGATGCAGCAGGGAATACACCATGTAATGGCCATGACCATTGGCTTCTGAGAAAGTTATGCAGTTAATCCTTCACTACACCTTTTACTAGCATGTGACAGTAAGTATGTGTCTAATCTTAACAGAACCTAAATCACAGAGTGTTAGGACTAATTTCATATGCATAGCTTCTGGCACACTGATGATCCCCAGTAAGTGCTAGCTGTGTTGTTGCTTTTAGGATTTTCTACAAATCTAAAATATGCACTGATCCCATGTAGTCTGAACTGATAGAACTAGGTGTCAAAACAACGCTGGAAATTTTCTGTTCTCTTTAGATGAATTCTTAGGTCTTTTTGGAGTTCTCTTGAGGTATGAACATCAAGTAAAATTTCACATGTGACCATGAATTTTAAGACCACAACTCAGCTTGTATACCATGGGAATCAGCTCATGATGCAATGGGACCACTTTTAAGATGATTACTATGCAGTTCTCAATCATTAGTTCCTTAATAAGTTGGTACTAGGTTCTGAAATCCTAATCTCCTACAGTCTAGTATTTTGTAGAATGAAATGCTGCCATTCCTATTAATTTTTTAAACAAGAGCAATAAATTAAAATGTTTTGTTAGGGCTGACCGAGATAAAGTTTTCAGAATTTTTGTTCAACTTTGATTAGCTATATGTGTTCTAAAAAGTACAATTGGTTGTACTCCATTGTTTTTAATGAGCCAGGCTGTGGTGAGACAAAGCAAATATGTTCTACAATCCCAGCAAGAGCTAAGACACATCCTTCATTACACTGACAATTTTCAGTGATGTATCACTAAAGTGTATAGCATCTGAGAGCGACGATGAGATTGCTATCTCAAGGATGTACTAAGAATGACTTAATTTTTAAAACCACATCCCACTCTCATTGCATATTGTCAGAACAATAGATTAGTGTGAACCATTGTCTGCTCTCATTGAAATCTTTGTCAGCATAATGAAATATCAGAATGTTAAAAATCAGCTGTAGTCATGGAATTTTCACTATCTATTGGACCATTCTGATCTTTCCAGATCATTGATAAAGATGAACACAACCATGGAATTTAGCATACCCCTATTTTTCATCCACTTATTTATGACACAAGAGGGCTGATAAACTCTTTAGATTATTATATTCAGGATGTTTAGGATCTAAATAATATATGGCAGGGAATATAAACTACTATGATTTAAAGAGGGGTAGTTGATGGTTACAAGAATGAACCCAGTGAAATTACCATGTCTCTAAATATACTACAATTCATATTTTTACAAACTTTATATGAGACCCCCCCAAAAGAACCTCTCAAGCCATATTTGGCTCCAGGATTTCCACTTTGCAATTTAGGATTAAAATTGCAATATGAACTCTCACCAAAATCTGGCTATAATAAATTGGCAGATGCTCTTAATTTATGTCACATCACAGACTTAGAGTTTGGCAATCAAGTATCCCAGGACACAAAGTTGAGTTTCCTTGTAAAGCAGCTGGCACCATATAGGATGAAAGGAAAACAAGAGGCTCTCTTCTTTGGCTCGAAACTATGATCTGAAAGTGATCTACAAAATTGGGTACCTACTTTTAGGGGAATGGGATTGGAAAAAGTCCATATTGATGGATTAATTTATCATGGCTTTCTTCTTTGGATTCTCACGATATATCAAATGAGACAAGCCCAGGAGAGACATAAAATCTGAGAAGCAGGTGTTGGTTTCTTCCTTTGAAATGTGTCCAACACAGCTATTTCATGCCACAATGCACCAACTTCCTTTTTCATGTTGCCTGGTTTTTCTCTCTCAGTTTGACCTTACTCTTGGACTCCTTTTCTTTTAAATTGCATTCCTCTCACAAATGGACTCTTTCCCCTGTATTCACCATCATGCTGATGGCTAAACTAGAACCTAGTACATCACCCTTGACTCTTCTATCTCCTTTGTATTCTCACTTCCCAATGGAAGTCATATTTTTTTTACAAGAACTAACTTCCACACATCTGATTTGGAATACCTCCATTCCAGCTTTTGATATAAAGTGAAAAAAGTAAATTGTAAGGCAAGTAGAAAATTATATTATATATAAAATTAAATTATATATAAAATACTACAGTAACTTCCATTCTTGACACACATACAAAGTCTGTGATGGTCAATTTGTGTCTTAACTTGACTGTCTCAGGGATAACCAGATAGCTGGTAAAACATTATTTCTAGTTGTCTGTTAACATGTTTCTGGAAGAGACTAGCATTTAAATAAGTAGACTGCATAAAAGAAGATCTACTTATATCACTCTGGACCAGCATCATTCAGCCTATTGAAGGGCCCAGTAAAATGAAGAAGTAGACAAAAGATAGGCAAGTTAGCTTTCTCTTCTAGAACTGGAACATGCATCTGCCCTTAGACTTCAGTATGTCTGCTATTTTAAATCATAATAGCTCCCAATGAGAGCAACTTCAATGATCATTGACTTGTTTCTGCATCAAAAATTGAGGCATATTTACCATGAGATATTAGGCAAAACTGATGTGAGGAAAATGATATTAGAAAAAGAGTGAATCCCTGATAAATGTAACAACATGATTCCAGTTATAGACATGCAGAAGTGGAAAGCTTGTGAGAATCAGATATGTTATTTCCAGTAGCTGAGTGAAGGGAGAAGTATAGGGACTCACCAGGACACAGTTTGGAGTGAGGGAAATGTTCTGTGTCTTGGTTGAAGTTATGGTTATTCAACGGTGTACATTTACTAAAGCTCATTGCTAAACTAAAAAATGTAAATGTGTTATCTTTCAATAACTTTGATTTTAAAATAAATTTGATCATTTTCAAAAGCTCTATTGCAATGATCATAAATGGAAAACTGTGGGTTGAACTAGGGAAGTGGGGGATGATGGACATAGTAGATAATTCCATGCTGTGTTAGGAGTTATTCTCTTGAGGCTAGTGGCTCATACTTATAATCCCAGCTACTCAAGAGGCTGATATTTGAGGATTTATAGTTTTCAGGAAGCCAGGGAAAAAAAACTCCATGAGACTTTTCTCTCCAATTAAGAATTTAAAAAGCTGGAAGTGGAGCTTGTGGCTGATGGTAGTGCACTAGCCTTAAGTAACAATGCTCAGTGACAGTGCCCAGGCCTTAACTTCAAGGCCCAGGACCAGAAAAAAATCAATGGGACCAGATGAATGGATTAACATAAGGTATAAAAGGAATGAAGATGTGTCTCTCTCCTACAAAAATATATCCTGGTATATCAAGAATTATAATTAATTTGTTTTATATCCACCTTTTGTATCACAATGCAAACTCTAAGAAACACCAACAACAGCAAATCACATTGGTCCAATTCAAAATAGAATCCTTACTCTAAAACTTAAACAAGAGATAAATCTCATCATTTAAAAAAGTACACAGAAAGATAGGACAATTGCATCATCAGTACACTAAAAAATTAATAAGCCACACACAGGGCATATTAATTGTGAGAAACACTCTGTAACATACTATGTGTAGAAAAGAATTTGAGGGCTGGGAAGGTGGCTCAGTGATAGAGACTTGTCTTGCATGCATGAGACCCTGGGTTTGATTCCTCATCACCACATAAGCAGAAAAAAAAAGAAGCTGGAGTGGCTCTGTGGCTCAAGTGGTAGAGTGCTAGCCTTGATCTGAAGAGCTGAGGGACAGCGCCCAGGCCCAGAGTTCAGGATCGGAACCAAAAGAAAAAAAAAGAATTTGAAAAGTGTTGCTACATATATGTATGTGTGTATGTGTCTGTGTGTATTTGTCTATCTATTTGTCTATGTATCTGTTAAAGGAATTTAGTCTTGATAGTTCTTTTTTTGGGGGGTCTGCTTTCTCAATTCAGTATATATATGAAAAGTGGACTTCTAAAATGTATTCTCAAGAAGTAAATACAGCATTTTCCCACATTATTTGGTGGACGTCGTTATATGTCTGCTTTTTAAAAGACAGATCATAAACTATTCCAGATTTCTATGTGCCAGTATCTAAATTTACAGAGTAAATCAGTAACTTTTTTTGGATTAGCATGTATCTTAAAAAACAATAACTTAATATTGTTCACTTAACTTTTTTTCTTGTGATCCCACTGACAATAATTATTTTTGGGGAAAAGAAAGAAACAAAAACCACGTTGCTTCACATTGTGGAGCTGCACTGAGCTTAGGACAGGGACCAAGTACAGCATGTCTCACCTGGCTTGAGATGAGCGAAGGGAATTTCCCCAGTGAGCAGTTCCCATAGGCACAGGGCATAGTTGAAGACATCGGCTTAGATGGTATACTTCGTACACTGCATGAACACCTCGGGGGCCATCCAGTGGAGGTTCTGTGGGACAAGAGTATTAGCATGCCATTTACCCAGGGCCCCCTTATCCACCACACAGTGAGATTCTTAGTGAGAACGAGTTCTCCCATGCTCTTAAAAGATATGCACATAAAATGACACCAATACCACCCTTGATGTACACTATCAATTGGTGTGCACGTATTCTCTATCATTGCTGTTTCTTAAAGGACATCTTTTTAACCATTTGATCATACAAGTTACAGTCCTTCTAAAAATATCATCAATAGTGAAATAACGCAGGAATGATGATTGGAACAGTAACCTTTCCTCTTGTTTTCTACTTTAAAATATTGTTATTCTTTCTTTTTTTTTTTTGCCATTTTGCTTTCCTCATTCTATAGCCGCCTATTCTCCTAATTGTCCTACAAACTTGCATGTAGTCAGCCACAGAACCCTCTTGATACTCAGGCGTGACTCGTACACTCGTAGTAGGCACCTCCCTCAGGTTTCCATGTGCCTATTTAGGAAAGAAGTCACCAAATTAGGCTCATAATGGAAACTCTCATGGTTCTGAAGAGAAAGGGACAGATAGAAGTAGATTCCTTTGTTTGCCCAGATGTGCTGTCTGAATTCTTTTTGTGTAACATTTCAGAAAGCCAGCCCTCAGAAATATTACAAATGTTTCTCTGTACAAACTCCTAGCCTCATCTCTTTTAATGACATTGCTGACATGCTTTTTATGTGAAATTACATATTCTTCAGTTAAAATTGTTTTGTTCTGGAATGCAAATGCATAAAGTTGGTTTACTTGTAATTTAGGGGACAGAACACTAGATTGTGAGTTAAGAGATGAAAATTCTGGCTCTGATTCGCCCACTTACTGGGCAGCTCTGGGCAAGTTTCACATTTATCTTGGACTTAGAATTCATGAACAAGACAGATGAGTCCAACACTTCCAGCTCCAAATTCTATTCTGCAATGAACTTTTCTAAACAAATTTTTATTCCCACAAAAGGAAACTCATATTCTTTTATCACTATTACCAAAATCCTGGTGCAGTGTTGGCTTGCTGCTATTCTTTTGAAATGTCTACCTTATTTTAAAATCCTGCATAATTACAGTTTCCTAAGAATATCTTTATTTTAATGTTTCTGCTCACAGGCAACTCTCCTACATGATTTTTCACATTCTAAAGAGTTTCTACTTGCAGAGTGTGTTATACATTGTGTCACAACATTACACGTGTGGGAGGAGGCATCAAGCATTCCTCCTTATGCATAGCCACCCCCCCACACAAATGAGGGAACTTAAATAACTAGTGAAAAATAAAATTGCCTCCCAAATAAATCCACAGTATTGCTGTACTTAAAGATTATGCTACTAGGATTAAATAATTACTGTTATCCACTGTTGGTAAAATTCAATTTCATTTCACTCAAGATTTCAGTCAATGGTCTGTACTGACTGCAGTTTAGAATCACTCAGTGGAATTTTGAAATATATGGGTACCCATGATGAACCCCAGAAAAATGAAACCACATCTTGAGGGTTTAGATTTAGGCATTATATTTTTCACCTAAAAAGATTCCTAAACTGATCTGAATGCACAGCCAGACTTGAAGTTCGCTGATTTAGCTGCTTCTAGGTCCCAGATGCTAATGAGGTTTGTGTATCCTGACAAAAGAGGATGCACTTTTCATTTCTCTCTCCTCTTATCCTAGCATTTCTTGCCCACTCATTCTGACCACCATAGCTTGGACTGTACCATAATCTCTCCTTTTGCAACCACAGTTCTCCCAGACAATGTGTGGGCTGGGAGATGTCCATGTATATCCACGAGGATGAACTCTTTGTGAGATTGTTAGATCTCCAATAAAATGTTATATTTCACTTCCACCCCATCTAAATGGCATGTGTACTACTTTCATTACTCTGGTTTTATTGCTTCTTTATAACACTCATGATCACATAATAGATGTTTTGTTCATTTGCCTAGTGTTTATCACCTTCCAGTGGAATATTAACTTCGAAGGAACAAGAACATTATTTTGATCACTGTCACATCCCTAGTTCTTAAAAGAATATCTGGCATCTAAAAGATGTTCTTTAAATAGCTGTTTAATAAACAATTGAAATCTAATTGGCTGCGTTCTTTGGATAGGGATTAAGTGCATCTCCCAAGCATCCATCTTGGGAGATTTTAGGAAGGGGACTTGAGGAAAGACAATTGGGTCTCTGGAAGTGCTTTCCACCTGAAAAGAAAAAAAATATGATCTTAGTTCTCAGTAGATGCCAATCAGTCCATAAATTGGGCTGTACTCAAAGCAAGACTGACCTCTCCTTGCTTTCTTTCTCCATTCTGTGTGAGTGCTGCTTCACACACAAGCTTCTACCATGATGCCACTATGGGGGTGAAGCCTGGAAAGATCTCACCAGAAACAGTACCAGGCTGTTTGGACTTTTTAGCCTTCAGAAACTGTAAGCTAAATAAGCATCTTTTCATGACAGAGTACCTAAACTTTCATATTTGGTTGTCATCAAAATATACTTATTTGTGGGGAGAGACTGGGGCAATGAAGGAGAGGGCAGGAGAATGAATTTTAATTGGAGACATTTTAATATAATTTTTCTTGCTTCAGAAGTTATGATTTAAAGTTTACTTAAACATTAACACTTGCCTACCACCTATTTCTCTTATAATGTTAAAGTGGAAAACTGAATGGTTAATGATGCTGGTGAGCCACAACTTTAGAACGAATTACCAGGTTAACTCTAAAACTTCCTATGAAGCCTAATTGTCCACCATTGTCACATGCCTTTTTGGCGTATCTGAAACCTATTTTGCATTTTTTTCTACAACATTTTCCAAGTGCAGATCTTATCTATTTCCCTAGAAGAATCTTTAAGTCGTTATTTTGGGGTTTTCTGAAAGTAAAATCATAAAAGCATTATCCCTGCCACTGAGACAATGACGGTCTTCCAGTTAAAGCTGCTCTCATCTTCTTTTCTCTCATGCTGAGTTTACACATTTTAATTGTTTTATAATCATCGAGAAGAAAAGCAGCAGCAAACCCCAGGTTGTTTTGTCATGTTGTCTTCATCCAGAGACTGGAGGAATCGTGATTCTGTAAGAAAGAGAAAACAAATTCATGTCCAGGGAAATATCTCAAAACCAAGGTTAAAGACCACAGCTAGTAATGAGACAAGCAGAAACAGTTTATGTTAGGCGAAATGAACCCCAAGATAAGGATTCGAGTGTTTTTTCTTTCTTGTGATTGTTTCTAACATACTTATAAGGTGATTGTTTTGTTGCTTTGTATGTCCCTTCCCGCCCCGTATAACCGTGTTTTCACTGTATTTGATGTTGGTATAATTTGGGGAGGGGAAGGGAAAAAACAAATTGTTTAAATAGGGATACAGTTGGACTCATTGCAACAATGAGATGTACAAGACGTTATGCCTAAAAACGAACTTTACAACTTTGGCGGGGGCGGGGAGGGGGAAGGCGGAGGAGATTGGAAGGGATGGTAAGGGGAAACAAAGGAGGAGGCAACAATGCTTGATAAGAAATGTACTCATGACCTTGCCCATGTAATTGTAACCCCTCTGTACAGTATTTTCACAATTTAAAAAAAAAAGACCACAGCTAAAGCTCTGAAACCTCAGGAAACTTTTTGCCTTATTCAAATTCTCACTCCTTTTCTATTGGTTGGTTGGAGGTATCAACATGAAAAAAATGAAAGTAAATGATGTATTTCCAGAATGTAGGGCCACTGAAATCCTAATGACTAAAGAAATAATATCTGTCAGTGTGAAATTTATTATATAATATCAGACACAATGTGGAAATGAAGAAGGAAACTGATGATATCTAAGGTACTAGTTCTAGAAATCTCACCTCCAAAATCTGCCACCACAGCATGGCCATCCTCATAGAGAAGAATATTGTGACTAGGAAAAAACAACCAAACAGGCTTTGAGTAAGCTTTGTTATTTCTTAATCTAACTGACCCTCTAAGAGGATGGATGACACTTGTTTACTGCAGATTCACTATGCCCTAAATGCTTACTCTGATTTTTCTTAGTTTTGTCAATTCTAAAGATATTTACATTTCTTTTATGGCTAGGGAGGTTGAGCATTTCTTCATGTGAGATATTTACAGAATGTGATTGTTTTTTAGCTACCATTGAAAGCATAAAGCATTTGTATTTTAGATAAACCCTCTATAAATTTGTCCATTAGCTGAAGCTCAGATTTTCAGCTTTGGTATATTCATTTGCTACCACAAGTATGGCAGTAGACAAAGTAGATGGCATTGTGAGCAAGTTGCAGTTAGAGCAGGAAATCCAGCTGGGTGCAACCTTAGGCAAAAGATCACTCAAGGAAGGGGTTGCCATGAATTCTGGAAGGAGTCTTTATGGACATAATCTTGAACAAAACATTCTAGGTACAACTTCAGGACAAAAGAGTGTTTCTAAGACCTATGAATTGTTGCCAGCTAGGCCAACATGTTAAGCTTTTATAGAAGAAAAGTAAAGGTCATCAGTTTTTCTTTCAATCCAAAGTTAGAAAAGATGAGAAAAACTTTAGACAAAATTTAATTTTTTATCATATTGAAAAGGGTTATCATTAGAGGCAAATTAATGTGCTAATTGATCTGACTGTAGTAATCATTTCACTACATATGCTAAATAATATATATGTTATAGATGTCTATATATCATAGTCTAAATTATACAATATAAATATATACAATTTTTGTTAGTTATAGCTCCATAAATCTGAAAAGAAAGTGTCATTTTTAAAACATTAAGTAGAAGCTATGACAATTCACAGAAAAGGTCATTTCTTCCATGCATCAGTGAACTAAGTCCTGAAATACCTTATGGATAAACAAGCATATGGTTATACAGTGATGTCTCTGAATACTTCCTATTGATTGTCATTGTTTCCCATCCTACATTTGATTTATAAATGAGTCAACTCAACATTTGGGGACCAGTACTGGATTTCTTTCAATGTATAGCTATGCTATATTTGTTTTGTACAAATTACAAGTGTTCCCCTATCCATATGTTTCTCCATGGCCAAAACATGGAAAACACTAAGTCCAGGGCTTATACATTTAGTGTTAGGATTTTTATTATATATTTTTATTGTAAAGATACTGTACAGAAGGGTTACAATTACATGAGTAAGGTAATGAGTACATTTCCTATCGAGCATTGTTACCTCCTCCTTTGTTTTTCCCCTACCACCCCTTCCCTCCCCACCTCCCCAAATCCACCCTCCCCCCTGCAAAAGCTGTAAAGTTCCTTTTCAACATAGTGTCTTGTACATCTCATTGTTACAATGGGTCAACCTGTATCCTTCCATTATATATATATATAAATATATATATATATAAACCATATTTTCTTTTTTGGCGGGGGTCGGTTGTGGGGCTTGAACTCTGGGCTTGGGGATATTTTCTTTATCCATTCATCTACTGAAGATCATCTGGGTTAGTTCCATATCTTAGCTATTGTAAATAGTGTTAGGATGTTTTTTTTAACATTGACTTAGGTTTTATAGCAAAATCAATTTAAAAACTGGTAGTAAGGATTAAAGTCAGAGCTTTACCTGAAACATGCTAAGCAAATATTCTACCACCAGAACTATGATCCTAGACCATTTGTTTGTTTGTTTTGAGATAGTACCTCACTAACTTTTTTCAGGATTGTCCTTAAACTTAGGAAAGGTCTGTTTTCACCTCCTGAATAACTGGGATTACAGGCAAACTCCATCACATTTGGATCAAAAAATAAAGTTTTGAAACTCTCTTCTCCTGTTAACAAATTTTATGTTTACAGTACAGATTTAATCTGCTTTTTAACTACTAGAAACCTAAAATATGCTCACAATCACTTTGCCTGGATTAGCACATGGGAGAAAGTACTTTAGGAGCAGAAACCTCTAAGATGCTACTTTAGCCACAAATCACAAATTGATGAATGTGATGTGAATTAAACTGTCATAGACAAGAGATCTATAGCACCAAGATATCTCTAGAAATCAAATTCAGTAAGAAAAGTATATTTGAATGCCATATCATTATATTCTTCAAAGTACATCATAACATTTCACAGGCCCTTGGCCTAAGACAGAATAATGAATATTGCATTTCACATGTAGATAGCATAGATCCACCCATTACATTAAAATACATGCATAACACCTTGTTTATTATTTTGTTAATTCCAATTAATTATCTAGAACAACACTCATTAAAATTTCTTTTTGGCAGCATACTCTTTTCCATAAACCTCTGCTTAATAACCCTATTTTCTAATCTGGTGGCTGCTTCAAAGCTATGGATTCAGACAAGCCTTAAACAAGTTGTACTGCCAGGTTATATTTTGTTTTCTCGTTTGTTGTTCAACTTTGTTCCAATTTAAATAACATATGTTACTAAAAGTGATTACACTAGCCAGCTAGAGTTGATTTTGCATATTTAGAAAAATTGTTCTTCTATGAAAGAAACAAAAGTCACCTTGGTTACTGAGTCAGCAAGTGCATTACAGTATGATGACATGCAAAGGCAGAGTACTTGAAAACAGGGATGGTGTCTTGCTCATTGATATACCTCTAGCATTTTCTATTGCACTGTTTCTCATGTAGGAATACTCAATAAACATTTGTTAAACAAGTAAATACATGAAAAGGAACTGAAAACAAACCCAATGCTTTAAGCAATAATTACATTTCAGAAAGGTAAAGATCCTATCACTTAAGATTTACTTACTGAATGCCAATCATCAATCTGTGAATCTATGATATATTTGGTAGAAATATGGTAGATATTAGATAATAGATATTAAGAAATTAGATATTAAGATATTAGATAATAGATATTAAGAAATAAATATTCAAAATTCAGAGAACATAAAACTGGGCAAGGCATTTTGGCTAACCTAGTTTAACCTTCTTGGTTCCTGGATAGAGTCCAATGCTCAGAGGATTTGAATGTATCAACACAAGCAATACAGGTAGTGACAGTGGGGACCTAGTTCAGTTCATCTGGGTTATCATCTCAGGTGTTAGAACAGTTCATGACAAATAGACGACAATCAATGAATCTATATTTTATGAATCATGGCTATGTATTCTTCCCCAAAGAATGATATTTACTTTCCTCATGTTATCCACCACTCCGGGAGATGCAAAGTAATACAAGTCATAGATTCCATCTTCAAGGAATTTATAATCTGCTAGTGAAAACAAAGATGAATGTTTTCAAAGAAAATAGCATAGGTTAAGAAAGGGATTAATTCTGAAGTGAGCTTTGAAGGGCAGTCAGTTATTAAGTCCATAAATATGTGCTGAGACTTTGCCATGTGTCAGACAATTTCCTATATACTGGGAGATGATGAGAAACAAGGCAGGCAAAGACTGGGCTTACATTGCAGTGAGGAGATGAGGCAGGAAGAAACAAAGAGTAACTCAAGTTTGGAATAGGTGCTGTTGGGAGAAAAAGTTCTTTGTATATATAAGAGGAATTGAAAGAGTATATTAATTAACTTGGAAAGTGTATGTTGGAAGGTAATGGAATATTAGAACAGACATGGTATTTGGTTATGAAATTATTTGCAGTAACTGGTATATGTCCAAGTCAAGCCGAAAAGGTCAGATAAGTTGATGTTAGGGAAATGAACCCTAAGATAAGTATTCAAATGTTTTTTTCTTTCATGCGATTGTTTCTAACACATTTATAAGATGATTTCTTTGTTGCTTTGTATGTCCCTCCCCATGGTATAACCCCTGCTTTTACTGTATTTGATGTTGTTATAATTTGTGGAGGGGAAGGGAAAAAACAAATCATTTAAATAGGGATACAGGTGGACCCATTGCAACAATGAGATGTACAATTCGTATGTCGAAAACGAACTTTACATCTTTGGTAGAGGGGGTGGGGGAGGAGGGTTGGGTGGGGGAGCATGGGGAGGATGGGATGGGAAGGGGAAACAAAGGAGGAGGCTACAATGCTTGATAAGAAATGTACTCATTATCTTGCCCATGTAATTGTAACTCCTCTGTACAGTATTTTCCAATAAAAAAATAAAATAAAATAAATTTAATAAAAAGAATTAGAAAGCCAGAAAGGAATTTGGGACTCAATGAAGGAGATATAAATGAGCTAGCATAGGTTTTTATACATTAAGATGTAATTCTCTAAAGCGGAGTCTGGCATCTAACAATAATGTTGGACTATTGTTATGAAAAGACAAAAGTGGAAAAATGGAGTAGCACACATGAAACAGAATAAATCCATCAAAATACTGGAAGTTCTTAGCTCTGGGAACTGTTTAAAAACAAAGCACAACAGAGAACAAAAAATCATGAGTCATCTTCAGACTTCTACTTTGAGCTTCATAATGACAAAACAATAATATATTCAGTTTTACCAGAAAGCCTGGAAATTTTCCTGAAGAGTGGCTGACACTGGAGGACCATGGAATTAGATTAAAGTCAAAGTTATGGCTGTTAACATGAGACTTTCCAGACAACCACGTTGAAAGCACATTCAAGGTGAAATTTCATGTTTAACAAACAGCAAGTCAAACCAAACAAATGAGGCAGTGACACTTTAGAATACAGAACAATTTAAGCTCATAGCAATAAATGTGGCCAAGTATCACACTAAAAATACACTATTAACTACTAGGAAAATGTTTCCTATAGATAATCTTGTAATCTACCCCTTTGTTCAGAGGGTTCCTTCATTCAGTAACAATAAGTACTTTTTAGAACTGCCTGCAAGATTCTTTCATTGGTGTTCTGGTAGCAGGGAGTCATATTTCTCATCTGTATTAAATCAATGGAGTGTGTTCTTAGCAGAGCATCTGTACTAATCAGGTGTATCACCAAAACCTCAGTGTCCATTGTGTTCAGAGTGCGTCTCTGCTGTCAA